CATGGCCACCGCCCAGTTCCTGACGCCGCCCTCCCAGCACAGCTGCTCCTCCTCGCCCGTGGACAACACCCCCAGCCACCAGCTGCAGGTGCCCGAGCACCCCTTCCTCACCCCGTCCCCCGAGTCCCCCGACCAGTGGTCCAGCTCGTCCCCCCACTCCAACATCTCCGATTGGTCCGAGGGCATCTCCAGCCCGCCCACCAGCACGCAGTCCCAGATCGCCCACATCCCGGAGGCGTTCAAGTAAAGAGCTGGCCACGGAGCCACGCTTCTGGCCACGGGGCCACGTGTCCCTGCCACGGGACTACCTTCCTTCCCCAGGCCCTGCTGGGGCATTCGCCCGGCACTCCGCGGACACCGGGCCGACCAAAGGAGCTTATTTTTTTTTAAAGAAACATGTTTTTATACAAAATAAGAGGACAGAGATGTGAACTTTTTTAGTATTTATTTATGTACTTTTCTCTCACATGGAAACACTGCCTTTTTATTTATATGCATCGTGTTCTCTCTCCCAGGAAACTTAGTAGTTCTCAGCCATGACTTCCCTCCGTAGGGAAAAGATTGTTACGTGTCAGTAAAACACATGAACAAAGATTCATGATTTATACATGCCATTTATTTATTGATTTCTTTTTTCAAAATCCAAAAAAGAAATAATGTCAGAGCAGGGAGGTTTGAGCCAGCGTCGTCCAAAAAGCTCTTGCGGGGGCCTGGGCCAGCGCAATTCCCCCGGGAACCCCCGCGCCCCGAATCTAGAGACGGAGGCAACCCCCCCACCTCCGCACGTGGGGAGATTTGCATCTAAAGTGGGAAAGCGAAGGGAAGTGGGTTATACGTGTGGGTGCTTGTCGGTGGATTTTTTGAGAACGGGCTTCTGACGGCGTGTTCTCGGGGTGCCGCGTGCGTCCGGGGCACCGATCATGAATCTTTGTTTCAGGGTCAGTGTTATGTAGTTGCTCGTGGGTCTTGCCCGGTCTTGTTCCTTCCGGAAGCTCCTCCGCCCCGCCCGGGCCTTGGCGTTCAGCGCCGCGTAGTGTGAGGTCAGGCGTGGCTGCGTGGCACCGCCTGGGCCCGCGTGGAGGGATCCTACCGCCCGGGCACCTCTGCACGCACGTCTTCCAGGCCCCGGGGAAGGCCCCGGGGAAGGCGGGCTGGGGCTCGGCTCAGAGCACCCTCCACTGAGGTTTGGAAAACCGCGCTGTGTCCGGCCTGAGTGTGCAGGGCCGTTGGTCCCGGGGGGACAGCAGGAGCCTGCTCTGGGGCCCCCTCCTGCTCTGGGGGGTCGTGTGCCCGGGGAAGGAGCAGAGTCTTGCAATGTCAAGTATAAGCCTGTTGCAAAGGAAATGTCTGTACATAATTTTCAAAGGTGGATTTTGTTTAAGAAATCTGAGTGAACACGCCCGTGGGGTCACGCTGAGGAGGGGGTGTCGGAATGGGTCCCACTCGCACCCTGGCCTTGACCTACAGCGGCCCCCACAGCTCCTGAGCGAGCCTGCGCCCCGGGAGGGGGTGCCCGCCTCCTCGGCAGCTCCTCCGGCCCCGCCAGGGGCGACGCTGTACCATCCCTTGTGGGTGTGAGCAGACGCATCCTAAGATGTTGATTCTTACTGTTTTATAAAATAGAGTGTAGTTTACAGAAAATGGAATCTTTTGTAAAAGTTAACGACATGCAAAACTGTAGGTGATAAAATGATGTATTTTTTTTTCATCTTTTTTTTGTTAACTGATTTGCAATAAAGACGATACTGATAACGCCCAGATTTTCCTAAACTCGGCCGTGCTGTTGGCTCCCTTTCTGGGAGGGCGGGGGAGGCAGGGAGGGACAGGCACCCCGAATCCCTCCGCCTCTTCTGACAGGAGAGCGATGGAGAGACGCCCCCCCTGGCCTGCGGCCCTGCTGTGTCCACAAGTTCCAGGGTCCCTGCATCTGCCCGGGAGGGTGGGGACACGGCAGAGCAGGGCACATGCGGCCCCGTCCAGGGGGCCGGGGGTGACGCGAGGCTATAGGTTCTCCCATCCTATTGGCCACAGAGGAGCGAAGGCACCGCAGACCAAGCCTGGGGTGGCAGGCGGGCCCTGGGGTGACCGACTAGAAGGTCCTGAGAGCCGAGGGGTGCTGGCTCGGGGGCACCATTTACTTGGGATGCTGAGCAGGACCAGGTGCCCTCGTGGGCCTCCCTCCTCCCTCCTGCTCCTGGCCCTCGCCCAGGCAGGGGGACACCACGCAGGTTAGGATCTGCCGGCCCCTCCGGCTGGGCCCTGCCTCCTGCCCTGACTCCCCACCCAAGCACACGTGTGAGCCCAGCCTCCTCACTGCATTTGTCTTGGTTTTGGGTTTTTTTTTTAAAGACGAGTAAAGCCTGATGCTTTGTCGTTTTTGTTCATCTTCATCCAAGGATGTTTTTCCATCGATTTTTAGAGGGAGTAGAAGGGAGGGGGGGTCAGAAAGAGAGGAACATCGATGTGAGGGAGACACGTGGGTCGGTTGCCTCCCGCACGGTCAGGCCGGGGAACGAGCCTGCCACCGAGGTCTGTGCCCTTGACTGGGATCGAACCCGGGACCCCTCAGTCTGCAGGCTGATGCTCTACCCACTGATCCACACTGGCCAAGGCTCCTCACTGTGTCTGGATGCCTCCGCCCGTCGGACGTGCTGGCCCTGCGATGCGTGGGTGGGACAAGCGGCTCCAGGAAATGAAATAAGGTTCCGTGGCGCACCTTCCTGAGGGACGGGTTCAGCCTGAGTTCTGCCCAAAGCTCTCAGCACCCCAAATCCCACCCCTAGGTGTGCACCCAGGAGAAGCGAAAACGGACCCAAGTCCGCGTTCACCCGCGTTCACAGCAGCACTGTTCACGTCAGCTGAGAGGCGGGCCCAGCCCTGGTGCCGTCAGCTGAGGGGGGATGAAGGCGGGGCAGGGGGAGAGGGGGGAACAGTGTGGTCCATCCACCCAGGGAGGGTGAATTTTGTGTCCACTTGGCTGGGCCATTCGACCAAATGTGAGACCCAAGTCCGCGTTCACCCGCGTTCACAGCAGCACCGTTCATGTCAGCTGAGAGGCGGGCCCAGCCCTGGTGCCGTCAGCTGAGGGGGGATGAAGGCGGGGCAGGGGGAGAGGGGGGAACAGTGTGGTCCATCCACCCAGGGAGGGTGAATTTTGTGTCCACTTGGCTGGGCCATTCGACCAAATGTGAGAGTGTCTGGACGAGATTCACCTTTGAACAGGTGGACAAAGCAGATGGCCCTCCCTCCTCGGGGTGGGCCTCGTCCAATCGGGTGACGATCTAAACCAGCGGTTCTCAGCCTGTGGGTCGCGACCCCTTTGGCGGTCAAACAACCCTTTCACAGGGGTCGCCTAAGACCACCCTGCATGCCAGATATTTACATGACGATTCATAACAGTAGCAACATGACAGTTATGAAGTAGCAACGAAAATAATTTTATGTTTGGGTCACAACATGAGGAACTATGTTTAAAGGGCCAGAAGGTGAGAACCACTGAAAACAGAACGTAAAGGCCGAGTACGAGGGGGTCTCCTCCAGCCGGGCCGCGAGCTGGCCATTGGACCAGCCTCCTGCCTCTGGACTTGGCCTAGAACAGCGGTTCTCAACCTGTGGGTCGTGACCCCTTTGGGGGTCGAACGACCCTTTCACAGGGGTTGCCTAAGACCATCAGAAAACACATATATAATTACATATTGCTTTTGTGATTAATCACTATGCTTTAATTATGTTCAATTTGTAACAATGAAATGGGGGTCACCACAACATGAGGAACTGTGTTAAGGGGTCGCGGCATTAGGAAGGTTGAGAACCACTGGCCTAGAACATCGGCCCCCCTGGGCGTCCAGGGCTGTCACGGATCTTGGGACTTCTCTGTCCGTCATCGACCTCTTCCGTGTGTCCCCGTCGGTGCTGTTTCTCAGAGCGCACGGACAGTGTAGTGTCTTCCGGCCTGGAACACGGGGGGTGAGGCGGCCGGACCCATCGGGCCGCGTGAGGGCGATTCCAGGTCTGATGACAATGTGCACAAGCGTCCAAGGTTAGATTCTGCGAATTTCACCTCAACAAATTCATTGCAAAAGAGAAGGAGCTGGCAGCGTTGGACCTTCCAAGAATTTCATCCAGGGTGTGGGGCTCCCACAGATGCAGCAGGATGGGCCCCGGGGAGGTGCCCTTGGCCCTGGGGACCTCTCTGCTCCCCGAGTTAATGGAGCCCCTGCAGAGGCGATGACGCCCCCTCTGCCACGTTTAAACTGGGCGCTGGACACCCGGCCCCGCCCGCCCGGCAGGCCGCCAAGGGCCGGGGTGTGAGGAACTAACACAGGGCCCCCCTCAGAAGGACCCCTGCCCCTCACCAGGCACCTCCCAGGGAAGACACGGGCGCTCCCTCGGGGCTGAGCTCAGCCAAGACCCCTGATGGAGGAGTGTCTTACGGGCTGAGCTGGGTCTCCCAGCTTCGCGTGTTGAAGGTCGAGGTGCCCGGCACCTCCGCACGCGGCTGCGTCTGGAGCGGGGTCTTTCCAGAAGCGATGAAGGTAAAGCGAGGGCACTGGGGCGGGTCCGAGCCCAGCCTGCCTGGTGAGCTCCTAGGAGCGAGTAGGACCAGCCCCGGAAGGTGTGCGAGCCTCCGGAACCCACCTTCCTCGCCCGCCAGGTCCTCGTCTGAAGAATGAAGGTAGGCGAGGAGCGACTGCTCTCAGCACCGCCCCCCCATTCCTGGGGGGCCCAGAAATGAAGCCCCCTGAGGGCGCAGTCAGGTAATGAGGAGCAGCCTAACACCTCCCTCTGCAGCCCCGGGGCCTGATCCCGAAGGAGCCGGGGTGTCCCTGCGGCCAGCTCCCCGGAGCCGCCAGCGGGGCAACGACTTGCCGGCCCAGGCGGCCCC